ATTTCATTCATTGTTGCATTGTATATTATGTTGTATTGTTTATGAGCATTAATAGTTTGTGTACTTGTTTTTGCTCCACTTTTTTGTTGAAATGAGATTTCTTTTACATGCAATAGCTTCTATACATTAACTTTTATCGAATGTGTTTATGTGTATTGACATTAATAATTTAATTTGTCAATTTGAAGTTATTGAGTGTTGTTTTTACTAGTATTGTTATTTATATTTTTGAATATTAAACGAACTATAAACTATTTTTACTTTATGAACTTTACTTGTATTTTCATAACCTCATTCTTATATAATGAAAATTAATAGCTATTTTTTGTAATTTTTTGCTAAACTTCTTTGTGGATTTAAAACACTTACATTATTAAGAATAAATATTTATAAAGAATCTATTATATAAGTATAGCAACAGTAATAATAATAGATAATAATAAGATTACATAGTCAGCAGTTAATTATTACTTTTTTGTTAGCCTAATAATTTTTGTCTATCACTCAATCAATATTGTACAACTATTATCATACCACAGACTACAATGAGAAAAACCTCCAAGTAAAGCCGAACTAATGTTTTCCATCCCTAGAGAACAGAGGAGATGAAAGAGAGAGAGGAAGAGAATTGTGGGCTTTCATTTAAATGTTTGAAGTTGTACCTTGATCTCCCTGTATAGCAAAATACTCCAAGCTGAACTAATAAATCCTGGACCCTAATAGAATGCATGTACATGTTATATTTATTATTGACAAAAAGTGTGGGATAACTGGTAAAACTTAAAGCTGTAATTATTGGGAGGCTAACAGCAAGTGAAATTCTCATTAGCTACAAACCAGCCAGCTAAAGAGAGAGAGAATTTAAAAGGTCACACGATAGTCACATGATGACTCACTCATTGCTATCCCCCACTAGAGCTGGTAGGAAACCTTAGGTCTGTTTTTTATTTGGAGAGAATAGACTACAAACCAAAAAGTACTTACTAGGAACATACCAGTGAAATGTTCAAATATGCAATCAATTTGTATCAGAAAATGTAATAAAAATTTGGGGTGATTTTGGAGCCATTTTTAAAGAAAAAAACCATAGACTATAGTACAGAAATATTTTCAGAATTTTGGCATTTTTTTAAATGGCCGTAACTTTAAAAATTGAAGTCAGAATCAGCTCAAACTTTCTACACAGCATAAGGACATCAATATGTATCAGAAAATGTAATAAAAATTTGGGGTGTTTTTGGAGCCATTTTTTAAGAAAAAAAAACCATGGGCCTTTGCCTTTTTTCAAAAATTGGCTAATTTTTAAAAGTGCTTATAACTTGAAAATTATTTGTTTGAAACAGCTCAACATTTTACCTTCCAAAATGATGGAGTACTAGTGCGTATTGTTGGCATTTTTGACAAACTCAATAATCCCAGCATTATCTTTACATCTAATGCACTTCTCATCAGTCTTCATTCACGTACTCAAATATCTGAAATGAATTAAAAATTGATAAAACAAATTATAATCATTATTACAATATTATTCTCACTCGTATAGATCTAGCTTCCGCAAAATGAGCCAATCAATTCACCCTCTGTGTAAGTATACAGATTATTTTTTATCTTTAAAACTAGACTTAACTACACGTACATGTACATTGTGTATTTAGTTGAATACACTATTTTGTGTACAATGCATGTACTGTACTTATTTATTTTTTGTATTTAGTGAGAAAAGGGAGGGATTCATAAAAGCAAAGTGCCTTGAGAAGGAATTCATTGCAGAATTGCCTCCAAGCTCACTCTCTCTTTCAGCAGTAGGCACTCTTTTCTCTTTAATTCTCTCTCTCTCTTGATTAATATTTAATTTTTTCTTTCTCTAGCGTGTATTGGTCTCTGTTAAGAATGATGATCCTATTGAATGCTTGAGACTCTTAGCTCACACCAGTCCATCTAACGTTAACGAGGCTCACCCAAAGCACAATGTCATTGCAGTGAATCAACTGCATTTGCAATAGTGTGTGTATGTCCAGTGAAGCAGTTTCATTAATAGTGTAAATATAATAAGCTAATAATTAGTTCCCTTCTATTCATCGACTCTATATTATTTCTCTTTTGTATTTTCATGTCATTATTATTATTATTTATGTTTTAATTGTTGTTCCTCTTTTTTTGAATTCATTTTTCATTGACTTCATGTAATAATAATTTCTCTGCTCTCTCTGTCACTCTCATTAGATTTGAATCAAAATCTTTATTTTCTTCTAACTCTGAATTCATTAACTCTTCTTTTCTTCACTCTTTCCATCACTTACACACATAATTCTCCGCTGTACTAGTAATTTTTTAAACAAAACTGCATATTACAAATGAATCAATCAGCAACATCGGCACTTTTAAAATTGCTAATAAAAGGTAGCAAGTAATGTTCTGGTTTAACTTGATTATAAAAATACACTTCACAGTCCACAGTGCTACCTTTTGCCAGCCCAGGAAACTTGTCTGAAGGAGTACCAGTCAGTATGCACTGTGTTGGTAGTCGCTTGTAACGTATTGGATGAGTCTCTAGTTCATCTAAAACAGCTAACATGTTTGAATCTACTTCATAAAGCTCTCCATTAACGATCTAAAGTGAATAAAATAATGCAGCATAAGCTTCAAGTGACTAACGTACGCCAGACCCTTAGCCACCATTACTGGTTAATTGTAAAAAGTAGAAGTACATTTATATTGTACATGTATACATTTATTGTACTAGATCTACTGTACATTTTCTGGTTTATCAGGAGGCATCTCTGGAAGGAGTCTTGGTGAATAGCCATACTTCTTTCCTTCTACAGCCATTATCACTACAGGATATGGTCTCACTAATCTTCCTTCACTTATAAGTGCAGCATATCCATTGTCTTTGTTAGTCATTAGGTGATGGTTCCGCTCTCCTCTCTTTAA